TTGTTTTTGTCAAAAACACGGTCAAGGTACTTGTTTTCGTCAGATAAACTGTTCGGTGTGTTGCAAACAAGTTGCGCTCGTCTTGTCAATAGTCGTATCAAGACATTGAAAAGACGAGCGCAACTACTACAACTGACAACTACTCTTCACTTGACTCTGAAAATGACTACCGCACAGATAGTCGAAACGTCAGTCACCAACAACAGTTCTTTTCAGAACTACACTCACCCGGACGATCGCACTACAAGAACTACTGATACTCCTGGGTTCAAACCATTTACTTTAATATTGAAATTGTAAGATAGCATATTTTTATTTCATTTTAGCTTTTTTCTCGAAGATATTGGCTCTACAGCTACACTGAATTTCGAGCTTAAATAAAGTATATGTATGTACACGATGTCAAGGAACTGCGGTGATTCTGCAGCACGGTATGCAAGGAACAAAACACATGAAATTACAATGTGAAGCCATATCACGTGTTACGAAAACAAAATTGAAAAGTAAGTGTGCCACTCGAATCATAAAATAAACACGTCCGATAAGAAGCTGTATTTAACTACCTGAAGAAAGAACGGGTATCCGAAGGTGTCCTATCAATTTAAAACCCTGAGCTTGAAACTAGCTGCTGATGCTAGCAATTACGGAGTACAGGACTCAGATGTTCTCCTTCAGAAGAACTTTATCCAGTGCCACAAGGCCACACCAGTCGGCCTAGGAAAGTTAAGGAATGTTGTCATGCACAAAAAAAAAGAAAGGCTATGGCTCATACGACGGCTCCTACAGGGATAGACCCCAAGCCGATGGATTCTTCCCAGAATAGATGACTGCACTGGTTGCAAACTGAAGACACGAGTGCCTTGTCATCTAGATGAACTGCTACCCAAATTGCCTGACTACGATGAAATATGTAGAAAAGAGAATGCTTAAAGGGACAAGATGGCACAAGACTACAATCACAGATTCAATATCGTATATAGAGTGTGAACAGCCAAAAAGAGACTGCAAGATCCTTTATTGATTGACACGCCCAAAAGCAACGTCCGAAGAAACCATCAAATGATTCAGAAACTAGAGCCTCAAGGCTAATGAGCCAGTACAACAGGTGCAGTCACATGGTGAGGAAGTACTTCCCACTTCAGCCGAGAGTCTGTCTGAGGTGGAGACCTTAACAGCATCCCAGGGAGTTCCTGAGTGCCTCCTGGATTCACCAGCTCTGTTGAACAGCTTCGTTGGTTGATTAATTCTGATCTGGCGGGTATCACAAACCTCCAGCTCCTCTGATCGCACTATCATAATTGCTGTAGTGTTCCCAACGATGTAAGTGCATTTGGTCAGAGGTACATGAAATGATATGCGGCAATACCGAAATGTGAATAAATTACATGGTTAAGAATAAAAAACTTAGGTGAGATGCCATCACTGAAGTTAAGCAGATATTATCGTAGTTCTTTCCGTAAGGATACGGATTTCTACGTGAGCTGCTTTATAAAAATGATGTTTGTCAGTGTTGCTTGAAATCACTTTTTCTCAACTGAAAGATAATTTGAAGTTTAGGCGACAGAAAATGTCATATATCTCACCTTGGCGTACTTTACCTTATCATCTACGAGTAATTGGATCTCACTCCAAGGTAATCTTTCAATTAGCTACGAACAGTCCCTCTAGTTTGGCGAAGACCGTCATGTAAGTAAGTGTATATTTATTTTGTTTTGACCCCAAGCTAGGCATGACTTTTTTCCCTTCGTTGTTGAAGAAGTTTGATTTACAAGTGATTTTTTCCTTAGAGGAGCTTTATGGAAAAAGTCTTAATCAGACCTTCGCTGTAAAATGGAGAGCATTAAAAGGAGATTCAATGTTTGAGTCAGAGTTAATTTGACTTCTTCCCTTCTGAACATTCATGTTCTGTATCCTCAGAACTCATTGAGAAGTTATTAATTGTTATTTGATACATCCTAAAGTTCGGTTCATCAGACCCAGCTGGGAAGGCAGAGCTAAGAGTGGGATCAAGGATACACTTGACCCCCTCCATGAAGCTCTAAAGGCAAAATATTAAAATTACCTCTCCCCCTGCCACAGAAAAGTAATCATGTTCACCGAAACTTTTTCTAAGTTTGTGAATACAATAGGGGAGGAAAAACTAAATACAAGTACAACCTTGCCTCTCTTGAACCTTTACGATAAACACTCTTGTTTATTATTTTCTTTTTTCATCTTATTTAGTAAATAAACCCCTTCAGGCGGCTGGTATGTCAGCTGACAATGTCCACGGCTGAGACATTGCCCGAGAAGTGAATACATGTCCGAGAAGCAAAGCCTTGACGGCAAATGTGAAAATTTTAAGGCATTCTCTGAGCTAAGGATATTATCAGCCGACATACCAGCAAGCCAGAAGGAGGTTTAACTTTCTTTTATAACCCTCCCGTTCATTTTCGTATCGCGCGTTGACAAAAAAATTTTGTTGACTTTTTTATATATTCCGGAGCAGCATTTAAGGTCAGCTTTTCAATGTCACTATCACATGACTCTAGAAAAAGAGTTCGTGTTTTCTTCCATGTTGGACAATTAAAGAAACCTTGAGTGTACTCTGTTCTGTTGTTAAGCACGCAGGAAGCGGCTAGAGCACACACAAAAAAGAGCGATTTAGCAAGAGGACGGGAACGTCATTTCAGAACGGGAAAGCGCGCGGATAGTCTGAACATGTAACTTGTTTCGACTTCCGGTGTTAGCGTTGCCCTTCTTCCCAACAAGTTCAGGACGTCATTGCGCTGGTTTCCCGCCGCGATCAAAACGCCTGCGATTTGCGTAAATTTTGCTCTTATAAACGAGATAATGCTGTTTGGAATTATTTCAGAACTAATTTCCAGGATAACCTGGTCCATTTCTTTGTTTTATTCGGTGTGTTTGGGAAAATTTACCGCTTCATTTATGCTGGATTCCCGAAAGGAAACACAATCGTTGGCAAGCGCCGGATCCAAGATTTTAGGGCTCAGTACACTTGTAATTGAGCAAGGCTTAAAGCAGCGAAAGGGCTGTTCTTTGATACATTTCTTTAATCCTGTATGAAAACTCTAAGAATGGGACGCTGTTAATTTTATCATGAATCAATTCATCAATAAATTAAACTTACTTTATGTTGAAGTTTATCAAAATGAATTATCACGACGCTTATCTACTGTATTATTCAGTGTTACTTGTTGTTATTGTCGTTTTTACCGTGATTGAAAACTTTTCTGCAAATTGAAGTCAGGGATGAAAAAAATTGAGAATAGCTCAGGTCTGCACTTTTTCATGTTTGAAATTTTTGACCAGCGCAGGTGAAAACTAAGACAAGAAAGTCATGCTCTCGCTTCGAAATAAAATGACAATCAACTCGATTTCGGCACGGCTTTCTAAATCTATTAATTTGATTCAGTCTTGAACGACTTCATTCGTTTAAAAAAAATTAAATTAAACAAAGACGAAAAAAAAATAAACAGGAACGAAGTCTTATTTTAAGTCTAACCGTTTCGTTGGTGACTATTTTGAGTTAATTTCATTCTTTCACGAATAAATAGGAACTCATCGTAAACAACTCCATCGTTGGGTCGCTTGGTTTCTACATGGTTTCGCCATAACTCTTGATAATTCCGTTCAAAATGCACTTTAATTCTCAGAAGGTGGTGCTTAAAAGAGATGTACTGTCATAATAGAGAAGAATATTCTGTAAACAAGGGGAAAAACGACGACGATTTCCAAATTATCCTTTACAACATTATGAAGAAAAACGAGTAGTGCTGAAATCTAGTAGCATGAAACGAAATGAAAGCGACGCAAATCTTAGAAAAAAATTTATTTAGTGCGCTTCAAAATTTGATAGATGAATCAGCAGACTCGAGACTAAACTGGAATGGAATAGTTTCAAAGTTTTATTACACCCATTTTGAAATCACTGGTGGTCTCTGTAATCTGATTGGCTCTAATTGATGCGATTTATTCACGAATCGCACCATTTTTTGCTTTAAATCGCATCTTTTTCCCAGCCACTGAGGAGGAAACACTAAAAACATAACAACCAATCAGATTTCAAGGCTTGTTTAAAGTAACCGATCAAATTGGAGGAAAATGAAAGACAAAGAGTATCATTTGGCAAATTTTGCAACATTTGTTTCCAAAACTCTTACTTTTTCCCCCCAAAAAATGGATGAAATTAATTTCAGACCGGCTCTTTAATTCTTTCGCCTGAAGTTTTTTACAGAATCTGAAAGTGAAACGTTTATTGAAATCTGGCCAAATTGTGGCTCATAAAAACACGCAAGTTTTTGCACGTAACAAGTAGAAAACAAACTGCTCAAGGTGTGTGTTTTATGAATGAACGACAGCCGAATTCACAGGAACCTTCCACCCAACCTATCGGAAGGAATATCAGAGGAAGTTCTTAGTTGTTCTCTTTAAGGGCGGACGATGTAATTTCTGAGGCTTGCCTCACTGCCATGACCGGAGATCGCCGTGATGAGCCAGCCGCGATCGATCTCAGCATGATCGCAATCGCTAACACCATAATGAATTGTACGAATTTTAAGTCATGCCAGTTTGGGTTAAATTTTTCATCATTCCTGTTTTGTTTTTGAACAAGAAACTTTGTATGCTATACGGTGGTTAGCTGTGTTTGATTTTAATACCGTTCGTAAGTTTCCAATCTAACTGAGCGTGAAAACCTTCAAAACTCGGACAGCCAACTTCGTTTTCTCCTTTACGATTTTCGTCTCTGTTCACGTTATATTAACGTATATTATGGCGCCTGGTACGTTTAAAAAGCTTTGTTTGGCTTTACTGCCGCTACTTCCCGGCTCCCTCGGCCCGAAAATTTCACTTTAAATTAACAAAAAAAAAGCTAGAGAGAAGGTTGGAAAATGGTTAAACAGAGTACAATTTAGAAGATGGCGTGACAGCTTTAGCTTAGCTCCGTGTTTTGTACTCTGATAGAACTAGCTCTTTCGACCAATGACAACGCGCGTTATACACGAACTTTATTATAAAAAGCAGTAAAGATGAAAAATGAAGGTTTTTAGGGTGACTTTTTGTTCCGCTGGCTTTCTTTTCTTTTCGACGGAAACAATCGGAGGACAAATATCGACGTAGATGAGAGTTATTTCGTGATAACTGTCCGGTGATTTTGCACTACGTGACGTAAAGAAACCAGGCAATGAAATTGCACGAAAAGTAATGGGCAGGTTATAATTTGTCATAGTTCACCTTTTATATCACTTAGCAGCTTACTTAGATAGCTGTATAAAATGTCGTTACTTTCACAGTTTATAACCAACAACTAGCCTACCAAGTTCTTAGCCTAAGTAGCTTACAGTAGGCTCAAGTTATACCAACTGATATATTCAGCATTAAAGATTTGCTTTTAGCAATCATAAGTCTTCGTTTTGCCTAATTTATAACTTTCAAATTACTCTCATTAGCAGTATAGTCAACCTAAGCTAAGTTTGCTAGCAGTCCGCTGAGGAAAGAAAGCTGCTTTTGTTGTAAGATATGTATGTACGGTTAAAGTTCAGTCTATCCTGAGTTTGATTTCTGTTGTTATCTTGGGTTCAGTCTTCAACCTCCTAAGGAAGGAGGACTCATTTTCCAAATAACAGCGGAGGCGATAATGCTCGAGGGGTCTATCCTTAAGTGTTCGTGAGCAAACGTCCTCGCTCTTCTTCTCGTGTTCCTAGTTTTTGGAGCTCAAACCCATCGTTAGCTTTTCTCGAAATAAAAGGATTCTTGGTAGTTCGAGCATTTGGCACAGTAGACTCATCCTTGTTAGTGGTGCGCCCCGAGGCAGAGATAGTGGAAGAGGCACGATTTGGAGGTTCACCTTGGTTGGAGGTTAGTGATCCATAAAATTTTAGTATCTTGGGAACCAAGCAAGTGATAATATACAAAAGCGCCACCTTTATAATTTCATCTGCTGTTTCCCTTCCATAAAATGAGTGCCCTGCTAAAACTGGAACAACAGCAGCACAACAAAAGCCAAAGAAACAAACCCCAGAGAATATAAATGCTTGAGAACTTGCACACAAAAAAAGATGCCACAGCAGAGAAAAAGAGCTGATGAAAAATACCAAGATTATCAAAAAAACAGTTAACCCCCATGTTGGGGTTATCATTATGCCTATAAGCAGCCAGGAAAAATGGTATAGGAGTAAATTTACCCATATGTAATAGATTGAACTGCAGAAAACTCCTTTGTTCCTTTTCATGGTATCTTGGTTTCTACCCTGAGTTCCCTGGATACCCCCATTGCCTTCCTGATGGCCCTGGTTACCCCCATTGCCTCCCTGGTCAACACTGCTGCCTCCCTCAATGTCCTGGTCACCACTGCTGCCTCCCTCAGTGTCCTGGTTACCACTGCTGCCTCCTTCAGTATCCTGGCTACCACCACTGCCTCCCTCAGTGTCCTGGTTGCCACTGCTACCTCCCTCAGTGTCCTGGTTACCACTGCTGTCTCCCTTAGTGTCCTGGTTAATACCTGGTTTACCTCGGTTATACTTCTTCCATTTTAAAATTAAGACAATTACAGGACCCTCAGTAGTGATTATTCCTATAAATACTATTATAAATATCATAGGAAGCTCTGTTTTGTAACTTTTAGCAAAAGTGTAGATAATAAATGGAATTTCAATTATCAGCATAACAAAAACAGTTGAATCTGCTGCATGAACTATAGGCTTTTCCTTCCAAAAACAAAAACTGTTGGTTTTTTCAGGATAATTCTTCAAAAACTCCAAGATAAAATGGGCTAGTAATGGACCAAGTAGCATGACAGATATAAAAGAGCAGAATAACATTGAATATATCAAATTACTGTGTCCTGTATCCAGTTCTCTTGGGTCATGATCCTTAATGACACATTCAGCTGTGTTCAGCCTTGGATCTGGTATTGCTGGACTCACTGCCAAGTCTTGGAGCTATAAATTAAATAGCATAAATAGTGATATATACAGTTAATACATCTTTTTGAAAACTAAATAAGTGTAATACACATCCCTGTTAACAGCTATGCTGAAAAGCTGCTTAAATTATCTCAAAAATGGAAATCACACAATAAGTTTTTATTTCTGATTTTCCAATAACTCTATGCAACGATGAGAAGAAGCCAACAGTATATAAGGTAAGGTGCTCTATCTATTGCCATTTTGTGCCCCACAAATCACATATTGTAGAGCTAATCTTTTGCTTTTAAGGTCAGCAGGAATTGCAGTTCTTTTTTAAAGAAAACAACTGTTTAAAGCACCTGAACAATTTAAATTTAAGTAATGTATTCACTCACATTTTGGCCTGTTTGATGTTATGTACTGGTTATTTTTGAGACTCCTTTTCATATGGTTTCAATAGAATTTGAGGGAAACAAGTTCCAATCCACCAATCCAAGTGTGTGCTCCTTTCCACAAGGATTAACATTCAGAGATTGGACATGTGAAAAATAACATCTGCAGGTCCACTTCAAGGTTGGCTATAGCTCTATATTATTCTGTGTATGCATGTGTATTTTTTAAGTGAATTAACTTTTGTATTCATTTAAAAATTCATTGATGATATATGACTTGGAGACTCTTTGATTTATTATTATGGTCCAATAAAAAACAAAGAAGGAGTTCTTATACCTTCACTATATTGTTCTCAGATGAAGCAAGGAAAATCACACCCACCAGCAGATTTACACTTACCTCAGCTATAACATCCTCAATCATCTTTTCTCTATTGCTCTCACAAACTCTACAGCAAAAGGATGGTAGAGTGATATCTAGATGCCCTGTGCGAGGATCCACTAATATTGAGCCAAGAGACATGCCCTGCAGGACAGCTGTAGGTAAAGCAACAAATAGGCAATTTGTACTCCAAGTGTACTTGACTGCATTTGATCTAGGACTCTGTGTTCCATTAGGTCCATACACATTCACAAAGACAAGTACAGAAGAAGGCTTCTTTACTGGATACAATGCTGCTCGAATGTTATAGCTGTTCTCCCCCGAAGCCAAAGCATTATATATGTCTCTATAAGTCCCAATACATGGCTGTTTATCGATGCAATGCCTGATAACATTATTTCTGTTGTTAGCACATTCCACAATACTAAAAATGCAGAATTTGATGACAAAGAGAACAGTAAACTTCAATGGAAAAGCCATGTGCACCTCTCTGTTAAACATCGATCTCCACTGTTTTGCTTTGTGGTAACACTTCTGACCTCAAATAAAATGATTGAAACTTATTAAAGACCCTCATTAGCTAAAAAAGAAAAAAAAGATATAAACATATGGAAACCATACATTCTAAATCTTGTACCACAAACAAACCCTCTGGGCAGTAAAGATACAAAACATATTGATTTAACAAAGCAATTAATTGTGGAAACAAAAACAAATGCAATAAGGTATTCCCTGAGAAAATTGAACAAAACATGTTTTTGGTATTAGCCTTGGTCATTGAAAGTTATCTTAGACCTAGACCAAGGCCCAAACTTATCTTGACTAATAATTAACTTGCTAAATTAAATTGTAATTAAAAAAATTCCATATGTTCCATTCCCCAGCCCCTCCATTCCCTGTAATATTAGATCTCTCTTAACTGTGAGACAGTCGAATATTCATGAAAGATGTACAGTAAATAAATTTGGTTTGAAGACAAAATAAAACATATGAATCATGGAATAATTATAATTTGCACATTAAAGATCCCTTGCGCCCAGACGGTTTGCTCGCAACAAGAAGGAATGAACATGGTTGGCGTGAAACCTGAGAACCCTATGAAAATTGTGAATTCCATCTTTAATTTGCTGTTTCACAGGTGTTGAGAAGACATTGACATGCTAAGGGAGTGTAAGTTATGCCAATGGCCTACTTCCGCCTCTGCAACATCATTACATTCGATGCTTCATCCCTACTTAACCATAAACCAGTGTTATGAACAAATTATTTTATTGTTAATGGAAATTCCTCAATCTCATACATTAGATCAGATGGCAGCTTACCTCGACACTGCCTCAGAAGTCACTCCAATACCATAAAATTCAAAGAGGATTTAGGAAGAGGTCATATGCAGCTAGCGGTAATTTGGCGCCGACAACACAACATGATGCGTGGTTACATAGCAGGCGGAATGCGCACTCTCATTACGTTACACTGTGGTAGGTTTATTTTCAATATGGCGGTGAAAGTACCAGAAATATGCAGACTTTGACTGAACATTCCTTAAAAGTTAGGCCGTTCCTTTTCCTTTTCACCATAGTTAAATGTACTTCAATTTATTCTGAATGTGTAAAAATTTAATTTTTGGACGTATTTGTGGCGTATTTTATGGTTCTCAAAGACAAACACAATCACTGTTTTTTAGTATGTAATTTGAGACCGGTTTTCGAGAAGGTCAGATTTGATTTATGTCGTAGTTTGGAGCCTTTCAAAGATTTGGGTGGCTGCTTTGATCCTTCTTCAATAGCGCTAACCAAACGCGCTCCAACGGTACATGTGTTTTGTTATGTAAATTTACTTTAAACCTCACAGGAGTTACGTAACCCAGAAGTGTCAAGGAATCTATTAATATTCGTTTTCGTTCAAACCGCGTGTGTTGTAATTTTCTTGTCAGTTTATACAGTGTAGTCGTTGTGTGTTAAAGGTCTTTTCTTAAAGTGGAATCATTTCGCGTTTGGAGAACACAACATGTGTCTCGCATTTTAAGTGCTAGTGTTTGAGACCGATTATGGCCGAGAAAAGGGGGTGTGGACAAAACGTGCGGCAGGCCATGGCCTACCCTGTGGCCTACCTTACGGCCTTACCGGTGGTCAGATTTTTAAAAACATAAAGGTAAAATCAGCAAGGGTCGAATAATTAATTAATTAACTAACTTTAGGACGTTTATTATGAGATATAAAAAGAAAAGAAAAAAATATGAAACAGATTGTTAAATTTGTCAATTACTCTGTGTGTTATATCTTTTTGACACAATGTCATGCAACATAGTATCCCAAATGAACTTCCTGTTGCACAGAGAACAGCTTGATACACCACTTGTATTGTTATGCTACCACACTTCAGTAGGAAAAGCAAGTAAAGTTTGTGAAATATTTATGACGGCGATGCCTGCGTGTCCCGGGGTGCTTGTTGCAAATTCAATGCTCTACAGCACTAAAGAGGCACTTAAAAAATTGGTCTGGCACGCACTGTTTGCGTTTTCTTACCTGGATATGTTGTCCGACATAACGCTGTTCATTACATTTTTACACTAGCACTCCACTATATGTTACCAGCTGGCGGCCTGTATGGATCATGAAGCCGCCACTGTAGATATCCTCAGCGACCACGCCATATTGGCCCCTCCTCTCCCCTCCCCCTTAACCTACCGTTATGGTTGAGTGCTTGGGTGGGGAAGACAGAGTTAGGATGTTTCAAGGCTGAGTGCTGTAATATATGCATTGTTTCGTTCCCTCGGGCGTTGAAAATCGTGTTAATGACTTTTTAGTACACCCTTTTTAGAGGCATAGAATTGTACGCCAGCCCACTCGTTCGACCCTTACTGATTTTATTTTTATGTCTGACCACCGGTAAGCCATAGGGTAGGCCACAGGGTAGGCCACCTCACGTTTTGTCCACACCGAGAAAAGGTTTATTGTTGCGTTACATAGCGTTACTATTGAATACTTAATTGTGTTGTAAATCTACTTTCCTGAGTAAAAGCAAACTAACTAATCGCGAGTGTTGTATGGTAAGTCTACTATCTTGATCACTGAATGAAGGACAGTTGAATTCGAGAAATGAAAGGAGTTACTTGACCAATGAATAACTCTACAATACACACGGCGACACGCTGGGCAAGCCGGAAAGCAAAAGGCAGTCGATCGTTAAAAGGTGTTGATAGGCATGTGCGACTCCCGCCATTCGCTTGCACTTTTAAATCTTCTGACCTGTAAGCTCAGCTGTTATTAGGATATCATTTAACGACTTCCGTTTGCGATGTGATAATAAGGGTTAGTTGAAAGGTGTCATTTCCCCATCTGTAAAGCCGGATGAGATTGTGTTACAAAAGGTAATGTTTTCAGGTATGCTCGCTAATTTTTTTTGGTTTCAAGTATATTGACTATCCCGCAGAAAATAACTCCAGAGATACGTCTCTCAAAACCATATTCTGGGTATTCTCTATTTTTTAAGCATATTTGAAACTCTGTGCGTTTTTTGTTAAACGTTGAGCGTGACGAATTTGGTCTAAGGGTGCAGTTTCGATTCTTTCTGAATGTCTTCAGTTGCCTCCTAACAACGAATTTGTCACGGAGGAATAACAGGAGTCGCGCAGGATCGCAAACACTTTTTAACTTTCGAAAGAACAGCAACAGACGGTGAATCCCCATTACATTCCACGTTTATTCACGCTTGTTGCTTGTTCATTCATCTTGCTGTCACCAAAAATGTTCACTCGACCGCGACAGGATGCAAATTACTCTCTTTTCATTTTACGACCATGATTCAGAGTGCGCACATCGCCTTGTTACATGGAGGGGTCGCGAATACCCACGTAGACTCTGTGACCCCCTTCCGCAGTATGATTTTATTGTGTCAGCGGTCGTCCCACTTTAGTAATAACTAACTAAGGGGAGCTCAACCTGGGGACCTGGGTTGAATCAGCTGTTAATTATAACCAGCGGCAAGAATCCCGCGCTATTACTTAAAGTCACGTCCCTATCAGGGCTCATTGGCCTTGCCTTGCTAACGAGATGTCATCCGAATATTTTGCAACGCGGGCTACGAGCCTTAGCTGTAATCCAAATAGTTCTGGCAAACAATCTACGCTAGTTAAAAAGGAAATCGAGTTTCTTCATGCAAACCTCTGCGAGGTACGCGTTGATAGTGACTACGGTTACGGGTTTTTAGATGGGACAGAGGAACGGAAGGAAGATCTTATTGAGCAATTCACCACATTGAATTCTACATGTATGTGCGCTCTACAACAGAGGTCAAGGAAAGGTCGCGGAGATCATCCGAAAATGGTATTTTCAATCTTCTTTACTTTTTCTTTTGAGCATTTTAGGTTTGCAATTTTCGGGAAAAGGAAAACGATTGCGCAAAACAGAGGACGAATACAGTCAAGGCAGGCCATGCCAGGGTTTTCATGTTTATATTACAAAACAACTTGACCTTTCGCTGCCTTTTGTTTGTTAAAGGCGGAAATATGCTAGTCATTTATGGAGCCCAGATGCGACGTCTATACTTTAATGAAGAAATGAAAGCGAAATATTATGTCGCAACAGTTCAATAAAATTTAGCCATCAAGTGGCCAGGATTTTAATTTCGGTAATTATCCGAAGGCATCTACAGCATCCGTTCCACACGTGCGTTGACAGACTATTGCACAACTTCCACCGGTGAGAAAATGAGTACGAAGAAATGCTAAATCATCGTCGTAAAAGTCAACAATCATTCACGGTAGTGAAAGATTTAGCGACTATTTAATAAAGCGTTTTTCGTAGTCTAAAAATGATCACATTTTTCTTTAACCTCGGCCCGAAAGGTTTTTAACAGTTTACACGGGTTTGGAAGAAAAGACAAGGCGCTGTGAAAAACATGCGCGCGTGGACCGGATCTGTTTTGTTTGCACTCTTTTTTCTTTTTTTTTGAAAAACAAAGAAAGCAGCCCAAAATTATGAAAGCTTGAGTCTCCAGAAATCTTTAATTTACCAAAATAAATTTCCAAGAATGACACGAGGGTAGAAACATAAAACAGTTGACGTCTGGGGAGTAAATTATTATACGAAGGTAAATAAAGATCTATAGTGTAAAAAATACATTTGAAATAATGAAAAAGATATCGAGTTTTCAGGATTCATTACACATAAAATAAAACACAAGGGAGAATTTCCGAACATACTTAACATAAAAAGAAAACTTAATAAATGTCGTTTTGACAGCCTCTTTATAAAATATTCCAGTCGCAAGTGCCGGAAATCTCAGTTGGAAAACAAAATCATCTTTTTTGCTTTGCGGAAAGTTTTTCAATATTTCAATAATCGCGCTATGTAACAGCTTTGTAAAATCTCTCTTTATGATGTCGGTAGTTTCGTCTTTTTTGAGTACAACCCATGTTTGAGCAAAAGTCTGGCAACCTTCCTATTGCCTGTCTGGCCCACCCATTCTCAGTGGTAACCGTGGAAACAAGACATTGCCTGCATGGACCAAAGGCGGTAAGGATACTATTGACACGGTTTGCTGCGACATTTTCAAAAACATGGCATAGAGTGCTTAGAACCTTATCATTACTTTCTGTTTCTCTATGAAAATATAGGATTCTCGAGGTGGAAGGAAACAGAAACCTCAAAATACTTCCGGACACGATTACTTAGCCAGCTCCGGAGGTTACATTAAAGTTCAAGGATCAAGAAAACTCGACTGCCCAGCAAGTCTGCAAGTGCGAGCTATACGGCTGTACACTGATTATACTTTAGAACCTGAAGAGCGCTCGTCAAAGAAAGGTCTACGGATGGCAAAAGCCGGGATTCTCAAGCAATTAAAGGATGACAAGCAGACGGGAAAGCGCCTAAGAACGACGACAAGATTCTATTTCAGGCTTCCCCTTAGTACAGCACACAAGGTACATCCTGTCGGTGAGGCCGCCACAATAGGTCACTCCATCCATCCGAAAATCGCAAGCAAGATCCGCGAGCTGGTTAGTGAAAATATAACTAGTCCAGATGTGGTACGGAAATGCTTGGAGCAGTACGTCGACAAAGAAATGTTTGGAAGTCATGAAGGTCATCAGAAACCCCGAAAGTCGAACCGACGATATTACCCCAGTCGCCAGGATTTGCGAAGTCATATCGCTCGAGCAATCAGCGCCAGCAAATACTGCGGTGATGACCAAGAGTCACTAAAGCGCAAAATTGAGCAATGGAGGCGTGACTCCCCATCATCCAAGTTCTACTTCAGGACAAGGGACGAGGTCAAGGATGGGGACGAGGTCAAGGATGGCGACGAGACAAAGTTTTTGTTCGTACACCAAGAAGAATGGCAGCGGAGGCTTCTCCTCAGGTATGGCAGTGACCTTGTACTTATGGATGCCACCTACAAAACGACTAAGT